AATACTCTTATATCACGTGATTATTCTCAACGAATCTTCTATTTAAATTAATACAAATCAATCGATTAAATCTAGCATTAAAAATCATTATTAATCACGTTAATGAATAATAATTGTATAATTAAATAATACGTAAAATCATTAAAATCGCTCTTACCCAAAGTTTTGGAAAAACAAAGGTTTATCCGGCAAGCATTATGGCGTACATTCTCCGACAAATTTGTTGATCGATATTAAAATGCACATAATTACTGATTAATTATGCTCTTATTTAAATTTAATATTCGACTATTACGAGTCATAAATAACATAGCATGATGAAAAATATTTTTAAAAGCAATTAAAACCCATCCAAGGTAAGACTTATCTAATATGCTTAAGGGAGAAAAATGCTCAGTTACTGCGTAATTTATAAAGATATTAAACAATTAAATTAACATACCATTATTTTACAGGGGTTATAATTAATTGAAAAGAATAATGAACTTTTTATAGTTCAAACGCATGAAATAAATGCAGCGCACAGTGATATCAGTGATAATTGTTTAAAAGGTATAGAATAGTCATGCTTAAGCAAAATGTTGGTGCCACTTTATTAAGCAAGTATTTACAAGGTCCCAGACCATATGCAATCTTGGAATTGTAAACATTGCATCAACTTGATGGACGCGGCCGTGTCGTAAAATACCAACTTTAGGTATAATATTCCATTCCATCATATATGTTCCATTCACACCTCTGATAACATTTAATAAAGAATTAATTTATTATCGCGACAAACACAAAAAGGGTATATCAAATAATTTGATACCTGAAACTTGGATTAATGTCATTGAAAGTATTCATCTTTTGATGCAATTGCAGAGCAGCAGAGGTACGACTTGGTATCATGAATGACCATAATACAATCTGATTACGGATCTATTTTTTCCACAAAAAAATAAAATAATAAATAATCAATATCTAGGATTACAATAAATATATGATGTATAATTATTAGCCATACGTGAGTAGGTGTCTCATATTCCACTATTAAAGATACAAAGATTGAATGCGTATTAAAAGTGAAAAGTGGCGTGAAATCTGATTAATTGTAAAGTTAATTAATAACTATTTAATTCTTTCAGTTCATATAACATCTAAGCAATTTTACCGGCATCAACATTCATTTCCACTAATGCGGACTCGTAAATTTCCCCTGTTTTCACTAAAATCTTCCGGTATAACTTTGAGAACCTTGAGGTCAACGCATGGTGAAATAGGTGGCGTTGGAATGATAAAATTGGCAAATAGCATCATAAAAAACATGGTTGCCGCGTAAACTACAATAAGCCATTTAATAAATTTTATGACACGACCGGCGTAGATGTAAAATTTGCGCATTTTGTGCCATTGACCTTTAATCAAAAGTACGGATTTAAAAACCGAGAAATTAAGCATTGTTTATCTCAGATATGGTAATTTAGGCTCACAGACAGAAGTTGTTTGATTGGTTAAATTTCGTGGATCTGCACATGAAGATTAACCATAATTTTTTTTGTAATTATCCGAAAGACATCTAATCTTTAGTCAAAGTGAGACAGAAATTATATTTTTGATTGCATATTAGTTAACTGTTGTCGTACAAAAAACGCGTGTCTAATATTTATATTTTTAGTGCTAGATTTAATCGATTGATTTGTATTAATTTAAATAGAAGATTCGTTGAGAATAATCACGTGATATAAGAGTATT